ACAGACATAATACGTTTAGGTATTTGAAATTCGGATTCATTCGCGTTTTTAATTCGGTTTCTTGAATTTATTCTGCAGTCTGATTATTTGATGACGGCATTCAATTCTCTTTCTTCTTCCATTGTCATATTTTTGACATCAGCAAGGTATTGTTTTATTTTGCTTTGGTTTTAATAACCTCGTTCCTCTGGTGGATGCAAACACAACAGAATGAAAACGAGGTCTTGGATTCAAAAATTGTGATTGAGACTTTTGGTTAAATTAACTGCATGTTTGGCTTTGGCTCGTCCCTTTTTAAGGTAGATACTATCAGTACAACTACTGCCCCTTCGATAAAAATCCAGACACAATGCTTTAAACATTTTTACTTTTGTAAATTGTTATTATTTGTATAATAACCTCAGTACAGTTCACGCTCCCCTTTCGTATGAATCGTTGAAACGTGTTCGGTAGTTATTCTACAAATTAAATTACCTTTGTATGTCATACATTGAGGGTAGACCGAACCCCACTTCGACAAGCGCTCAAATCTTAGGTATTGCTCCCCTCTGTAATTGGATTGTAGAGGTCAGGTAGCAGTCGCGGTGTATTGACTTGTTAATCAAAACTTCACTGAGCAGTAGTTGAAATTATGTTATGAACCGAGGGTTAGTTAACTTTCTATATAGAAAGCATGAGTTTACCAAACTGACGAACCCACTTAGTGAACCAAGTAATTCTCGCGCCTGGCATTAAATCATCTCAGCGCGAAGTAGAGGCATTATTACGCGAACGTCGAGTCACTTAACCTTTGCTCAAAAGGAACCCCCGAACACTTCAAACGAATATTTATGTTCGCAGAGAATTTTACGATCCCGCAGATGTACTCCGCGTAGTCTGCGTACCCTCTCTTTTAAATGATCGATATGCGTGCAAATAAGCAGGGCCTTAAGCAGGAGCATTATACTGCGGGAGAACGGATGGGCGCCTGGGGCGCTCGCACCGCGCATGCGCTCACCGAATTACACCTCCCCCTACCAAAATATTATCCTGTTTATATTGAAAACAACACGCAAATTGCTGCTAATTTTAACTTAATGTTTTATATCCGATTTATCGATGAAAAATTATTTGATCGCTTTCCGTTAAAGTCTTTTGGACCTTTTTCCGTTTTAGCACCCATTACCGTTATTACAGCATTAGATTTCATGGTTATAGGTAAAATCGTGAGGTTAATATTTTTATAAGAAAGTATTGCAAGTTTGCGAGGCCTGTTTGTCGTCGATACTAGTATTTGCTGCAGTAAAAATAGACATGAACGTCTAGGTTGCTTTCATTGCTATTTATTTAGTGTCAAGGAGCTTCACTACGATGTGTGGAAAGGCCAGATAAACTATTTGATATCTAGCTCGTTGAGAAAAATGGTGTAGCTGAACCAACTATTGTAAGAGTCATGTGCCTTTATTCTTTAACAACTTCCGAACTTTAACATCAGACTGACCCCATCGTAATACGTATATTATATAAAACAGTTACAGATAGATACAGTTCGTTCGACCAACACAAGCCAGTCAGTGTGGCACAGAAATCGAATCCTGGGCAACAATGACCGACAAATGATCCGCTTCACTGGAGCCAAGTCACAATAAAATGACTTGTAAAAAAATATCAACTTGATAATTACACCTGCTCGATAGATACTACTCTCTATGGTGTCCACTATCAAAAGGAATATTTGAAAGTGGATTCGTAGAAAAAAAAATAAGAGAAAAATATGGGCGAGAACCTCAGTTCTCAGTCATTAGTATCACTAAGGAATTTAAAAAGAATGTCGATCCAAACGATAACTTCGTACAATCTTATCATTATAAGTATTTAAATAATGAAATTATCTTTATTTCAAATATTACTTAATACGTGAAGGACGAATTATTTCCTTTTTAAGCATATTGTACGCACAATCACTGATTGCAGAAATACAAATAATTTTTATAGAAAAGAGAAAAAGAGTTGGTTGAATTTTAAACTAAGCAATGTCTTTTAAAACCCTACTACCTATTTGGTCCTGGTCTTTTTGAGAATTAAGATCATGTCTATTTCCATTATTTCCATTTGCCTGCATATTTGGACTGTGTGTCCACAGGAGAAGATGTCGAATGGAATATGATACCCAATTCAAACATAAGGGTCAGGTCTCTTATTTGAAGCTCTACTTCAATAGTTTGCTTTTCATCAAGACTTGGAGAGCCAATTGAAGATTATCCTATTATAATCCAGTTTAAACTACATTTGAAGTGTTTGACTGTTAAAATAGATTTTATTGGTTAGCAATTTAATAGGAAATCATTGACAAGCCATTGCTGCTTGATGAAGAAGAAGAAAGATATCTTAAGTACGTTTTCGAAATAAAATATCTTGTATTTACCTCTATACAAATAGATACAAATTAGTTCTCCAATATATCTTTAATCTGTTCATAGTCTACTCATTCCAATGTGATTTCTCATATTTTCCCGTTATTCGTATAAATTAATGGACGCTCTTAATAAAGATTAAAAGTAAACCTATTAATTTCATCCAACTAATCCATATAAGTTTATAAACGTCGTCCGCTGAGGTTAAACCTTGTATAAAGCTTTAGTTAATGAACTCGTTTATCTAAGCTCACGGCCGTAATTATTGTCTCATTGATTTATTGATAAATATCATTTATTATATCCAGCTGTAGCTACTAATTAATATTACTTACTTATGTTTTATATCAATGTAAACACTGGCTTTCTTATTTTTATAAAAACAATAAACATTACTTTGTCGTATAACGATGTACACATTATTTATTCAAAGAAAAAATATGTTTGGTCCAATCATCGTTTCTAATAGCCGTGTTAATTCCCTTATTAATTTACCATTTCTATTCGGCGAAATCCTCAGACATAATTAAAGCACGGCGCCAAAGTCTACCTGTCGGTGTACCTTTGCCCGCCGCTCTATTAGACAATAAAAAAGTTAATGCCTATACGGGCCTGCAGAGATGCGGCAACTTCTCACAGTACCCCACCCTCGCCCCACCCCGCACACCTCTAACAAAAATAAAACAACCTTCCAAGGATACAACCACCGTAATTTTAAATTCAACATAACAACACGATATTGGCAGGCAAAATTCAACATTGCCACCTGGGTAACAACGTTCAAATTCTTAACACATCCATCCTCTTCTATACCATCAAAATATTCAACTTAAAATAAACTTTGTTGTCTTTAAAGCACAGTTCATTATTGCTCGAAGAACGAATAAATAAGGTTGTAGACGCAAAGGCAGGGAGAAGAGTAAAGGGGGTTCATTAATCCCCGCGCCCTGCGCGCACGCACTTTCATGAATGGACCGAACAGGTTGATGTGTTTTAACTACAGGATGATTCTAGATTATTTTAAAAATGATTTGATTTGAAGTCAACTTTATTCATCTCAACTTATCGCAGAATGTAAGAACTAAGAGAACAAAAGAATTTAAATATTTGTGTATACGAAAATATCACGTAGGGACATTTAAATGCATTTATTCATACTGACTAACGGAAATAATAAGGTCACTGATCAAAATTACAAAACAATGTTTTGTGAGATATCGTGAAGTCTTTTCTGACTTCCAAATTTTGTGATATCATCATTTTCTTTGTGTTGAGATAGTGGGTACAGATGACCCTGTTTCTTCTTAATTATTTCACCGTTGCCTTTCGTAAGAACCAGAGGTGATATTGCTAAATATAGTTTTCGTACATATACATCGATCCTGTTTCATTAAAGGTTTCCTTTCCTGTACATTATTTACGTATTTACGCCTTAACTAATTCTTTGACGTCAAAGTCGATCTCGTTTCTTATCTTCCCAAGACTTCCATAAGCTTTATCTGTGAGTGGGCAGTCTGCAGTAGCGTTAGCGTGTGTGCTATGTGGCCAAACAGGTCGTTCCACTAACATCCTGTGCATGGAAGGTTCGAAGGAAGCGCCGCAACGTCCGGCCGCGTGGATGTAGCGTGATGCTCTTTTTCCTTTTCGGTTTGTTTTTTGTTCATCTCATTTATTTATTCCAATGTAATCTCTTCCAGTTCATTTTTTATTCAGTCGGCCTTCAGTGTTACCTGTGCCGGGACGCCAAAGCCTTGTCTATATTATCGTCTTAGCACATTTGCTAGAGGAACGTTTTGATCAAAATATCTGGTGTAGTGTTGTGTTTCTTCATAAATACAAGTGACAATCGTATGATTCTGATTGTAATTTAGTGGACATGTGACGTGTGTCAACTGGTATCTAGTGTTGGTCTTGTGTACTGTGATGATGGAACTTCCGCACTATCTACTTCTCTTGGCTCGGACTTCACTGAGTAATTTGAATCTCCTCTCGATGGAGCCTCCACAGTCACCCAAGTTTAATGTGCCTATTTGGCAGCCCTGGGTTGCGTCTCCTCAAAAAGGTATCTAGGACTATACTGTTTATTTTAATTTATATTACTTTATATTCTTGTTTACAATTGATATCATAATTTAATATATCATTCACAAGTTTGTGAGCCCTTAACTAAGCTTGTTTAATATCGCCAGAGTTATTTTGAAAATTAAATTTGATTTTGACTTCATACTTATTATTCGGTAACCCACGTACAAAAGTGTCATTTTATATGATTTATGAATAGAGGCCTGAAACTAAACACCAATTAATTTTGGAGGAAAGCTTCTAGTAACTAAGACCTGAAATGGGACCTAATGGTACATCGCGGTATCCAATTATTTTCTCTTAATTATGTGTGTGTTCCAAATTCTCGAGAGTATGATTTATTACTGAAAAATGTTATTTACATATACCTTATATAAACATATTTGGCCTGTAGACCTTATATAAACATATTTGGCCTGTACTGTAAATATACAAAATTATTGATACAAAAAGTTGCATCCTTTGCCTTCTCTTTAAAATTTTCACTGCCTTGAAAAGCTGTGCTAATAAGTAATTTCTTTTCAGAAACTCCAAGCACTGCATCCAGTGGCGAATCAGAAGGTGATCGCACCCTGTCTCCGGAGACGCCGCGAGTGCAGCCCAAGGAACTGACTGGCAAATGGCGCAGGGAGAGACGGAACACACGTCTCCCTGATTATAGACCGAGGTAATAATGATAAGATTATATTTGATACTTAGTTACTTTACTTAGTTAAAAATCTGATGGTTTCTTCTTAGTGACATCGCTTTATTGTTCCAAAATCTACGTCTGTAAAATTCCGGAAGCTACAGTTATATCCATTTCTAAAATAACCATGTGGGTAATTTACTTTTGAAACAGTAGCCGATTCGAACGACATTCCATTGGAACACAAAAATAAAACAGATTGCATCTTCCGATTTAATTTCCATAAATTAAATTTGTTTCCAGGGAGAACGGTAAGATGGCGCTCCGGTCGCAGTCTTTCAACGAGCGGCGCTGCGTGGCGTCTGTTGCGCGGGCGCAGCCGCATAGTGATGGAGAACTATCGGACGAGACTGAAGAAGGTCCCGCTAACTTAGCAATTAATGGAAAACGTAAGGAATAATGCACATTAATTAAGTAATAGGTTTGGATATCTTTATAAAAGTTGACAGGGCTAAAATTCGAAAAGGTTAATTCAATTAAACTTCGTCGGATTTTATCAGATCTCAATTCCATCATTTTCGTCCAACTTTTTAAAATTAATTTCGCCTACGCCTTCAATTACTTGTGATGATCAATATTGATAATGTCACAATAAGGAGCTTGCCAGTCGTCGTCGTCATCATCTTAGTCAACAGATGGATATAGCCCTCCCCTAAGTACCGACACAAACCACAGAAATTAAAAATCCTTTAATACGTTTACCGTAATGAAAAAACTGATTCAATTCCAAAGCAATCCCATTTCGTGTCCTTCACAACGATTGTGGAAACCAAACAATAGCTTAGTTCCCGGCCATGGAAGTTTATTTAACGAAAAATAAACTAAGTAGGAATTGCTTAGTAAACGATTTTGCTAGCTAAACACCGAAGACGTTATACAACAGCCTTGATTGGATTTCAAACTTTAGCGAAATGTGGAACTAAGTCAAGGACACGATAGACCCGCGAGACGAAGCCAATATAAAACTTCTTAGTAAATCCGATTCCCTACAAATCCTAACTAATGAAATTTGTTCTCCTAATCTCTTGGAAAACGGGTCTATCTAGTATAAGGTTGTAATTGGTGTCTGACGTCCATAATATCGGTAGGTATAAAGGGGAGGTGAAATGTAGTTAGTGTGAAGCCGCGCGATGGACAATCTCACATAAGTATATTTACTAGATCCTTTGAAATACAGAGCGTACAAAGGACAGGCCTTTCTTTAACAGATAAAGCGCCTTAAGTACTTAGTTCAACCTTCTTTCAAGATTTACTTTAGTTTGTTCTATTATGGATGCAAGATGGAGTTCTGTTTTGATTGGTGTTCTAGCGAGTCGATGGAATCCCTAGAGGTTTCTAACTCAGCATTAGCAAGATAAGACGAGAATACTAATTAAGATACTAACTAACTAATAAGAACTAAGACTGATGTATTCAGACTTAATTGGGCCGTCTTAGGATTATGATCAACTTGTATTTTAATTATTTGTTACATAAAATAGTGATCAAGTTATTTGGAACAATTTAATAAGACAAGGGAACAAGGAATATGTGTTTTTAAAATTCATTAAAATAAATCTAGATCAAATTGCTTAGATACCGAATGATAGGGATATTGCTCATGAATTTAGGCTCGTTGCTAATCGTCATGCTATGTATAGAACGAAGTATGATTTCCGTTATGCTGCTGCTGTACTGATGATAAATTCACTTATCATTTTGCAAATGAAATGTGATTGACTACATAGGAACTATGAATTATCATTAAAAAATGGTTGTTATCACAAGAAATTGTGAATCATAAACGCATACTTTTTTCATTTGCTCATGTTTTATTAAAACTATGATTTTTCACAGTATGCTTATAAAATATTATGAAAAATATGTAGGTAGATGACGTCAATGTCTTATGCGTGAAGCCTTTATCATCACATCAGTTCTCAATATTATTAGTTATTCAAAGTCTGTATTGAAAAGTTATTAAATAAGTACTAATTGTAAAACTTGTATTATAATATCAATTAACCAATTACATTATTTGCTACAGGGGCACCTCCAGAATACCCAGTTGGAAAGAACGAGGCTCCGATAGACATGCGCCTGCGATCCCGACCCGCACCGCCGCCCTACACGAGGCCGTCTGTCATCACAAAGAGCAATGATACTCCACCCGGTAAGTTTTCATTCGGTTACATTTTGAATATATCTCTTTTAAGACACTCTTGATTTGTTGCATGATAAGACTAACGCTAATTTCTCATATTTTTTGCCAGGTTCAATGTCAATGTGTGACCCTGTGATCGATGAACATTTCCGGCGTTCACTGGGCGATGACTACATGAACTTATTTAAGAAAAACAACCCAGAAAGTGCACAGCCTACACCAAAACCCAACATGAAAGACCGGGCGAGCAGCCCTATACAGTTCAAAACTGAAGAGCCCCCGAAACCTGCAAAAATAATAGCAATGGAAGTGGACGATGCGAGTATGTCTGTAGACGACCACTTCGCAAAGGCGTTAGGTGACACCTGGAGGCAAATACAGACATCAAGGTTAAAAGATAACGAAAAAGTACAGCCAGCGAGCAAGGGAGGCGTCGACGACCACTTCAGTAAAGCCCTCGGAGAGACGTGGAAACAAATTCAATCGTCGAAACTCAACTTAGACACAGATAACGAAAAACCTAAAGATCAAACGACGAAAATTATTTCAAGGAGCGGAGTAGTAATATAATAACGGTAGTTAAGCCGCTGGGTGGTTCGGTTTACGGCCTTGTAAAATTTACGAGGCATTTTCATGATACTAACTGGAGTATCAATAAATTCCCACTTGTTTTACATAAAGAAAGCTATTATTTTGATAATGGGTACGAAGTGTGTGCCAGTTGTGACGGTGCCTTTACACCTGGCTAGCGGTACTTACCGAAAGATTTATTCCAATATTTCTGTTACTCGGTATGTTTAGAACGATGTCGTTACTCTTGGCAGTCGCCATTGTTTATCGTAAAATGTTCAAGATAACAAAATGTCAATAACACGTTGTAACGGTTAATAAAAACATTGTAAAACGTGGTTGGAGGCACCTTTATGTTTAATAGAAAACGAATTCCATGACAATTCTGTTACCTTAGGTTTTTGGGTAATATTTTTGTATTGTTATTTAATTGTAAATGATATATAAATAGTCAATTAGTCACCAGTTACACATTGTAAGTTATTACCTCAATATGAGCGCTTTTGCACAATTCACTAATAGATTTAAGAAATAATGTTGTAAATAATAGTCATTGTATGGTTGAGAGATAGAAAGGATATTTATGAAAGGCGATATTTAGATATGTTTGACTAACTGTGTTTCATTTCAACATTAAATGTTCCTCGTGTAAATGTGTGTATGTGCAAGTAAAACTTCGAATGTTCTGAAATGCCCATCGAAATTTTACCCACGTGAGATATTGTGTCAGAGTGTAGATACTTTATTTTGATATTCGATAAGTGTGTGAGTATGGAGAATAACTAGTAAGGAATGAAAATATAATGCACATGAGAAATGCTTGATGAGAAAAATGATAGCAATGTTACTTTGTTTATGATTTAGTTGGTTGATTGTTTTGACGAATTTTTACTCGTTATGAGTAACTTTATTGAAATATCTCATTGCAACTTAAAATAATCTCATTGTATCTCTTTTGTATGTTTTCTAAGATGAATGGAGGTAAATGTTTTATGTGTTTTACAAAACTTAGTTTTATATTAAAGTGTCGAATGTTATTATTATTCTCATCAAGTTTTCGTATTTTGATAAATTGGGGCAGCTGGCTGTCTCCTATGTCCTACGACTTAGTAATATAAATATTAAATATAATTCAGTTTGATGTATGTAAATAACGTTTTCCTATTTATGCACTTTAATTTAAGTATAATGTCGTTGAAGACGAGCAAATACACATAGCCTTTAAAATTACGTGTTTTATTTTTATTTATGCACCTAATACGAATTTATGCGTCTGTAGCTTGCCAAGTCTTAGGTACTTGTGTAAACAAAATACTATAAATATTAGCATACTGAAATTACAACGTATATGCGATTTGTGCATTCGAAATTGCGTTTATTCAGCGAATGTCTGGGTGAGATTTCACTAGGTAGGAACACAAGCATACCTACTAGCGGAACCCCCACTTTTCACTGATTATGTTATTTTATTCAATGCCTTATTACACTTAGAACCTAATATTATAAATGAGAAAGTGTGCAGGCTAATTTTATCTTTCTTTCATATAGATGACAAAATATGTCTCAAGGTTTTTTAGGATGGTTTTGTATCTGAAGATAGTTTAAAAGAACGAAGACTGATATAAGCTATAGTGATATAGATTACTCCTTTATTTGCCAGCTAGTAACTTAACATTATTATATGCGACACAATTGAATATCCCAAACAATTCTAACACACGAGTAAGTAGTACCTACGGAATACCAAACATATAAAACATTTTCGACGCAAATTATTCTCAAGTATACTTCACGAAGTAATTTGAAGACGGTATCTAATCCTATCTGAGATGGCTATAGCGTCTGGGACGGGACCTATTGTTACGGAAATTCGTAAACCCTATTATGAAGTGGGACACAGCATTATGAAGTACACAATATAATATTATAATAGCCCAGATGATCTCAGTTGTGTCTGGATTTGAGGACGGATATGAATAGGGTATTCTAATTACTCTTTTGTACCTACACGTAGAACATTATTGCTTACATATATTTACAAACTTACTTAACTTAGGTAGAATACTATGTTTTAAGTGTACAAGTTCGCCACATCCTCCTAAAACCGCTGCAACTCCAGGATGTACAGTAGATACAACCATGAAAACACCAGAACACTGAAGTCCGGCGCGTCCCAGGGTCATGAATAACTATCTTGGATCCCGCAACGAAATAAATCAGAAGATATTAATAGAGAAGAAAAGAAATAAGATATTAATTATGTATTAACGTATGTATATGTTATTTATTACGTTCACATTCGTTATTAATTATGTCATTACCAATAACAGAAAACTGTTAATAACTGTCACTAGATTTACAAATAAATACTCACTTAACCAAATTTTAAGTCCTATATAATAAACACCTACCTAAAATATTCTGTAGGGGCAAAAAAGTAATTTACATAAAACACGCAATTAAGTGTTCTGTTGTCTCTCCCTGAGTTACCTTTTCAGCTAATTATTTGGAACAGACTTAAAGGAAAACTGTCCTTCTTTAGACATCTAATTCAGTTACACAAATTAACATAATTGCACCCAACGAGGAGGTACCTAAGATAGATAGGGAAACAACACAATGGAAGTCTTAAAATACGGTTTCAGGTTTCTTAAATGATACAGTTCTTAATTTAAATAAATTATTATTAGTCTGTAACCGTGGTGCTAGGGTAAATAGAATAGAATAGAATAGATTCTATTCTATTCTATTCTATGCTAGGGTAAAGAGTTAGTATCTATCATTTCAATGTACTTTATATCCCGGAATACCTTTTTTTATTCTGACGACATGACGTTATGTAATGTTTACTATGACTAGACAGAACTTGAGAGTTACGTAACGCTTTTCTTTCAAAGTTCTAGATAGAAAAGTGGATCATTGATAAAAATGTAACAGGATTATCCTATAGAAAAGGTATTCAAGTGAATGGTTTTTTCTAGTGACGTCAGAACCTTAGTACTAAGGTATTGACCAGTGGTTAGTCAACAAACATGGTACCTAACGGCTACTGCCAGGGTGCGCCAGACAAATATAGGGTGTAAACGGGTCGCTCCCGAAAAACGCCCATAAGTGATGATGAAAATCAAGTCTTCTTTCATAAAAGTAAGGACTTAAATGTTTCTTTTATGTAGGTAATAATAGTTGTAATCAACTGCTTAAGGCTGATGTTGCATAATTTTTTTTTTATAATGCTAACAATTACCATTACAGACTAATCCAATGCGATAGTGTGACCATCAGTCTTACAAATACTTACAATGTATTTCAGTATTTACTTATTATATAATTATATAAAAATTTTAATTTATGACTTACTAGCTACTTCCGCGCGGTTTCACACGCTCTGCTCAGCTTCTATTGGTCGTAGCGTGATGTTTTATAGCCTATAGCCATCCTCGATAAATGCGCTATCCAATACAAAAAGAATTATTCAAATCAGACTTGTAGTTACGGAGATTTGCGCGTTCAAACAAACAAAAAAAACAAACTCTTTCGCTTTATATAATAGTATAAGATATAAGATAATAGTATAAGATACTAACCTAGATACAATGCAACAATTCGGATAAATATAAATAAAAACGATTAAAATTATAAAAACAATTTCTTTTTGTCAGCGTTTTGTGAGTTTCGTTTACTCTCTGTATAAGTAGGTAGTAGGGTACGGACTGAGGCACTTAAACATCGTTACTTGAAAGTCATTGGAGCTCTTTATACTTTTCCATTTGAATGACAAAGATTCTTACCTTAGTAGGTCTTATACGAGAAGGTCAAGCTACGCAAGCAAGCAGATCACTACATAGTATAAAACAAAGTCTATCCGCCGTCTGTCTGTCCCTATGTATCTTTAAAACTACGCAACGAATTTTGATGCGGTTTTTGTTAATAGATAGAGTGATTCTTAAGGAAGGTTTATATGTATAATACATACATATTGCACCCGTGCGAAGCCGGGGCGGGTCGCTAGTATTGAATAAATAAGCTTTCAATTCTTTGTGCCACTCAAAAAAATTGTGGGCATGTGATGTATTGTGTATGTGTTTAATGCAATGTATATGCATCTATGATACATAAATGACAAATCGTATTTTACGGTTATGTTGTACAATACCTGCTCGTCTTCGTATCTCGTATCAAAGCAGAAAATTTCACTAATCGGTGTTTGTTACTTTTCTAGACCCTAAATACCACAACTCCCTTATAAACTGACGTCGCCCTTATTGAATATGGAAACAATCATGGCTAATCCGACCCGTGAACAGGTAATTAGGTTCGGTCCCATTTTATAAGGCTCACACGTTTATTGAATAAACATTATGTAAGTATTTATGTAAAACAACTTCTCATTTCCGTCTCGAAATAACATTTTTTTATTAAAAACTTAGAAAATATAAAATCCAGGTAAATACGTAGGGTACTACATTACACTTATCTTAATTTTATGTAGCTAGGGTAAAAAGCTTTGTAGAAAATTTCGCTCATAAATGGAATTGAAACTAGTTGTTAGTCGACCTACTTACATACGAATGGTAAAAACCGTATTTGTACTTTAAGCAAGCCAATTCCACTTTTTTGAGGGGCGTGGGAAAAATATAACCCCAAAGTACTGTTACACATGCTCTAAAATAGCACGCTAAAAGGATTTCTATTAAACATGCACAAAAAATTTCAAAAATCGAACGCCTGTCGATTCGCAAGCATGCCCGAATTGAACATGCTAATTGGAGCAACACTCCGATACATATGCTACTATATGACAAGTACTCAATTGAAGCATGCTGTGGTGTTTGAAATTAGAATGTGTGTTTTTAAATATCATAAAAAGTTACCGTAGTACCTAGGTGTGCTAAAGGTAAACTGTAAAATTCTTGTAAAAGATAAGCCGTCTAGGTGTACAACTGTATATTTAAGGTGACCCCATTAGTACGCAGAACGTTGGTTATTTGCTAAAAAGTACC